TTTTTCAACCAAAAGACACATTATTTTATATGATATATATCATAATTTTTTTCAACAAATAACTAAAAACTGTTGACCATTATCCTATACTGCTTCCCCAAAGCCATACGGAATTTCATCAGAGTATCAATAAATTAACTAAAACAAAATCTCAAAATCTTTGACAAAAGTCGTGTGATACCATACAACAAAACAAAACAAAATTTTCTTTCAAAAAGATTAGAAAAAAGCAAGGAGAAATTTCAGTGAGGCACTGCCACACAAAATCATTATCTTGAATGAAAATCAGAAAAAAAAAAGCAAAATAATTTATATTAATGAAAAATAAATAAAAGGATCTCTCAGAGTCACACTCGCGCGAGTAAAGAACACGGGCACTCGCTCGCCCACGCAGAGCCAACTTACGACAAATTGGGCATTTCCGTAATTTGCATGCGTGAAATACCAATTCCCCTTCAACGGTCAAGATCAACCCAAGAGATGATCACCGTCGATCCTTTCTTAACCATGGTCAAAGTTAATTCAGCCCCTGGTTTAGTTGTGTAGTGATTTCCCTCTTCCTCACTTGTCTTTTCTCTGATGATAGAGATGAATGAGTGTTTTTCAGCTTTAGCTTTTTAACATGACTGAGTGGGCGAGAGAGAGAGAGAGAGAACAGAGAGAGAGAGATAATGGGGGCAGGGCTATTGAGAGCGAGAAACTGATGAGTGATTTCTGCTTTTACCCCTTTTATCTGATGATCTAATATGGGTTTATTCACAGTAGTTTGACTGTTAGTAAAATTTGATTCTTTGAGTTGAAGTTTCTTGAATATGGAGTTTTTCATCCGATCTGTAGGTTTTGATTGTTCTTGTTATTGAAGGTCTTTAGTCTTCTTCCTAGTTGTTGTTGTTGTTGTTGTTACCTTTTTCTTTTATTTTTCGGCTTCTTCCTTTTTACTGTTCTACTCAGTAATCATCACCTCTTGATATTTGATGATGATGATGATGGTGATAATAGATGAGTTCAGAGTTGTCTTTCTTTCTCTTATCCATTAATATTTTCAGCTCACGTATTTCCTCTTTCTTAAGCTCCTGGTCCTGGAGCATTTTCTACGGTGCTTTCTGCTTTATTATTTTTATTATTATTATTATTATTTTTTCATCTTCAAATCTGTCAGATCTATCCAGTGAATCGAGTTCATAATTCAAAATATGGTGATTAAGTATTCAGATCCGTCTTAAATTGGATCCATCTGAAGGAAAAAAACAAAAAACCCGCTTCCATTCCTTCTTCCAAATCCCTAAATTTACCGGTTTCCCCTTTTGTTTTCACTCCAGGGTACACACAAACATGTGTATACAAGTCAGGTCTTATGCTGAAATCATTTTGCGTGATAAAGTTGGGATCTTTTTCTCATATCTTGATAAATAGCTTGTGAAACGGTAGTTTTACGTTTAGACAGTATGTGTTTGCTCCAGAGTATGATGAATTACTTCCCAGAGGAAGTATTGGAGCACGTATTCGACTTTGTCACCTCTCATCAAGACCGTAATGCTGTATCTTTAGTGTGTAAATTGTGGTACACCGTTGAGAGGTTTAGTAGGGAGAGGGTTTTCATAGGCAATTGCTATGCTGTGAATCCTGAGCGTCTCATTGCTAGGTTCCCTAGGGTTAAGTCGTTGACTCTAAAGGGAAAGCCCCATTTTGCAGATTTCAATTTGGTACCTCAAGATTGGGGTGGGTATGTGTTCCCTTGGATCGAGGCCATGGCAAAGAACGGAATAAATCTGGAGGAGCTTAGGTTGAAGAGGATGGTGGTGTCTGATGAGAGCCTTGAGCTGCTTTCAAAATCTTTCCCCAATTTTAAATCCTTGGTCTTAGTTAGCTGTGAAGGGTTCTCCACCGATGGACTTGCTGCCATTGCATCTAACTGCAGGTCCTGTGTTTTCACCTTTCTTTATTTTCTATTAATAAAAATATTTTGTTTTGATTTTTCTTGTCTGGATTGTGTTGTAGTCTTTTGCTGCGTTCACGTATTGTTGCCTGATGTGGCATTTGTCTATTGGTATTTGTCTTGAACATTAGATTTATATGTTTCTTCCTAGGCTTCAGTGATAGCAGCTGATATTGAGTTTGGAGTTGGTCCATTTGTTTGTAGATGTCGAAATATTTTAGTGGATATAAGTTGGATTTTGGGGTTGCTTAAGTTGGTTAACAACTTCCTTGCACATAAACGCTCGATTGGATTAGATGTATGCTTCTGATAGGATGAATTGAACTCTTGCCTGGAAAAAGAGTAGCTTCGGCATTCCATTTTGAATGTTTCAGATAGAGCTAGTAATCTGTCATGCCAGTTATAGGTATGTGTTTTTGCTCTTATCAGTAGGAGATTTAGTTTCATGGCTGCGTATATTTGAGCTCTTGTCTGCTTTAAATGACATTCAACCTTTCTGGAACAGGTTTCTCAGAGAGCTCGACCTGCAAGAAAACGAAGTTGACGAACGCAAGGGCCAGTGGCTCGGCTGTTTCTCCGAAAATTCTAAGTCTCTCGTCACTTTAAATTTTGCTTGCCTCAGAGGAGAAGTCAACGTATCGGCTCTCGAGCGACTGGTCGCGAGAAGTCCCAACCTTAGAAGCCTCAGGCTGAATCCTGCAGTGCCTCTTGACGCTCTTCACAAGATTCTGATGCAAGCCCCTCAACTGAACGATCTAGGGACGGGATCTTTTGTCCACGACCCCGATTCAGAGGCTTGCGGCAAATTGAAAAGCGCATTGAAGAAATGCAAGTCGATTAGAAGTTTGTCTGGTTTTCTTGACGTAAACCCACGATGTTTGCCTTCTGTTTACCCTGTTTGCACTAACTTGACGTCTTTGAACTTGAGCTACGCGCCAGGAATCTACAGCAATGAGCTGATAAAGCTTATTTCTCACTGCAAGAAATTAGAGCGTCTATGGGTCCGTTTTCTTGTTAATCAATCATATTCATCATACAAAATAACTACCTTTTTTTTTTACGTGTTGACTGAGATTGAAAAAAATTGGATTTTGCAGATACTAGACACCATCGGGGATAAAGGGCTAAATGCTGTGGCCTCCACATGCAAAGAGCTTCAAGAACTCAGAGTTTTCCCATCCGACTTGTACGGTGTGGGTGGTGATGCGGGCGTAACAGAAGAAGGGCTCGTTTACATATCATCCGGATGTTCCAAACTAAATTCCGTACTTTACTTTTGTCAGCAAATGACCAATGCAGCTCTCATCACCGTGGCTAAAAATTGTCCCAATTTCATCCGTTTTCGGCTCGCAACCCTAAATCCTACCATACCAGATGCAGTAACGAATCAACCTCTTGATGAGGGTTTTGGGGCTATTGTCCAGTCGTGTAAGGGTTTGAAGCGGCTATCGATCTCCGGCCTTTTAACCGATAAGGTTTTCTTGTACATAGGAATGTACGCGGAGCAGCTCGAGATGCTCTCGATTGCCTTTGCTGGCGAGAGTGACAAGGGAATGGCTTATGTGCTGAACGGGTGCAAGAAAATGAAGAAGCTCGAAATTAGGGACAGCCCTTTTGGTAATACGGCATTACTTACGGACGTGGGGAAGTATGAAACAATGCGATCCCTTTGGATGTCGTCCTGTGAAGTGACTTTCGAGGCATGCAAGATGCTTGCCCAGAAGATGCCGAGGCTCAATGTGGAAATTATCAACGATGGTGATTCGGGTGAAGGAAGCCGAGATGATGGGCATAGGGTGGAGAAGATGTATTTGTACCGGACACTTGTTGGGCCTAGGAGGGATGCACCGGATTTTGTGTGGACTCTGTAGGTTGAGCAGGCCCAGGTCCACTGCGTATGGTTACTACAGCTCTGTGCCTTTATTTGTCTGTGTACTGTGTAAGCTCTCTTTAGTCTTTAGGCTGATTGGAAAGGGGGAAGGAACCGTATAATTATGCATTTCTAGCTTAAAAATGTTCTGTTTGTTGCATTTTGTGTTAAGGTGGTTCGATTATTGGACCTTTCAATTTGTACAATGCTTTTTGTATCATTTAGACAATTTGGGTACGAGTATGACTTCTTTACACGTTTTTGGAAATGGGAATTAGTGGAGTTTTGATAGTAGATTTCCATTACCCTAATTAACTAGTGTGTATCCCGTGTGATGCACGATATATGAATATGCAGAATATTATAATTCAACGTGTATTATGATATATTGAGTTCAATACATACGAACATTATTCAATCATAAAATATATGTCACGAAAAAATGATACATTATTAAAAAACTTCTTTGTATACAGCATTATCAGTTTAATTGGGTAACTTGTTGTGAGGAGCACGGGCCGAGGCAGGTCGGACACAGACTGCACAAAGGCTGCGGAAATTGGCCTCACTCAATTGGGCTCCCTTGATGGGCTTCTTTTTTGGGCTGCGAATGCTGATTTTTGTCGCCGAAAAAATTGTCCCCACACTTGGACAACTTTTCTTATTTCCAACTATAATATAAATTATATTTTATTCCAAGTTTAATTTTTTTATTCCTATTTTGTGTCGATAGTTATTTTTTATAATCTTAACTATACTAATAAAGTATATTTTTAGTCTGAATCATGTAACTTCCTTAATAGTGAGTTGAATAATTCATAGATAGAAACATAATTTATAACTCCATCTAATTTCTCTCCCGCCTCCCCTCTTATGTCATATTCTATATTTCATAATTTTCTCCAAATATAACAAAAAATTACATACAACAATTATTAGATTGACCATCAAATAAAACAAAATAAGACTGTAAATGAACGTAAATTTTCCTTCATAATTTCTACAATTTTTTGTTGAAAATAATAATTGTTATGTTTCAGACACAACATTTGTTTGTTTATTTTTTTTATTTATTTATGGATAGGCTATCTAACTTATTTTTTGTTCAAAGTTGGTTTATTTTTTATTTATATCATCAGATATATGATCTTAGGCATCATTGGACATAAACTCATAAGATGTGATGATAAATATGCATTTAGATTTAACATATACAACATAAATGCAAAAAATACAGAGAATACATTAACCCTAAATTTAGCTTATTGGAAAGTTGTACAACAATTAAAAAAATGTGATTTTTCTTAATTATATAAATAATATTAATTATGATTTATCCATTGTTTTTAAATTAAACTGGGTTGGACACAGTCCGACCGGAGGGATCGAGAACCGGTTATAACCAGTCTAGTTAGCTTGAATAAAATATTTGCTATCAAATCCGTCACCACCAATCGGTTGGACTGGTAGGATTAATATGATTTTTGTGAAAATGAATTTTTTTTTTTTTTTTTTTTTTTTGCATTATAAAACCCATACCAATTTTAAAACTCACAAAACATAAAATACAAAATTGGGCCCATATATTTGGACGAAAATAACAGTAGAAAACAATTTTAATTGATCATTTTATTATAATTGTTGGATCCAATAGATAGCTATAAGTAAGATATAAAGCCTAAATATCCGGCCCAGTTCATATGATATTAAATATACCAAATTCATTTAATTATTGGTCAAATGACTTAAATTTGTTAACATAAATCCAATGGACCGGAACTAAGGCTATCAACTATACAGTTTTGCTATGGAGCCATCGGATGGCTCGCCTTATGAAGTCATCCATAGTTATTCACAAATAGTGTATTGACACGTGTCCTACAATAAATGCACTTTGGACAAGTGTCAATACACTAAGTCATGAATGGCTCCATAAGAAAACCATCCGATGGCTCCATAGAATTTTTGATCAACTATATATGACAATCCATGTTCGAATTTTTAGGACTTCTGATTTTGTTCACCACATCTTCACATTTATCTTATCTGTCCTCACTTATCTCCATATCCCTCACGGTTCAGAAAATATGCATTATGAATTTTGGGTCTATTTTAATTTGTCTTTGTGTTTTTTTATTTAAAATCTGTATTTTATATTATGATTTTTAATTAAGTTTTCGAAGTTTTAAACACAAAATGTCTCAAATCTAGTTATAGATCTTCATTTTTTATTAGAATACATGATTATTATTATTATTATTATTTTGTACCGCAAATAATTTTTTGTGATGTAATGTGGTGAATTTTTATTGATTTTCGAAGATTCATTACAAAAGTTAATATTTTCTGTTAGGCTTTTAAATTTAGTGTATATCTGGTAGGATTTATGAAAGAAAATAGGAATAGCTAGAATTCGGTTCAAAGTGATATATATGATTTCAATTTGTATTTTAAATTAGATTCCAAATTTGTAGGCTTAATTAATTTTATGTAAAAATTAGATTCCAAATTTGTAGGCTTAATTGATTTTTTGAAAAAAAAAAAAAATCGAAAAATAATTGTATTTTGATATGTGATTGTATTATGGAGGAATAAACTAATTTCTTTATTTTAAGCGATTACAATTAGTATTTCAATTTGATTCCAAATTTGTAGGCTGCTTGGGTTTTAATGGAGGAATAAACTAATTCCTTTATTTTAAGGGATTTTAGTTTGTATTTGAACTACATTCCAAATATGTAGGCTACTTAAGTCAAATGTTGATTCGACTGTTTCTTTATTATTAAAAAATAAATAAAAACAGTAAGCAATTTATGTTGTCCTAAAATTTATGGTCACTATTTTTGGTAAATGGTAATTATATATATATATATATATATATTATTTTTTAATTGCTCTAGCTTATGACTGTTCTAAAAATCGGCCTAGGCGGCCGCCTAGGCGCTAGGCGGTGCCCGGATGCCTCCGATTTGCATAAATTGACAGAAAAAATCGACCAGGCATCTAGGCGGGCCTAGGCAGACTTGGCGGACTCGGCGGCCAGGCGGTTAGGCGGCGCCTAGGCGGGCGTAGGCGGACCTAGGCGCTCCTAGGCGGGCTTGGCGGCAATTTTTTAGTTTTTTTTTTTGAAATACTAATTACATTATTTTGTTCTCATTTTTTGTTAAAAATATATTAATTTTATTATTTGGACCTAGAAATGTCAATTTATTATAAGTTGAGATAATTTTATTTTATAGATAGTTAAAATAAATAAAAATTAGGTATTTAATATTGATTTCTAGGCCCCGACTAGGCGCTGCCTAGGCCCCGCCTAAGCGCTCTAGGCGCTGGTCGAGTGCCTAGCGACTTTTAGAACACTGAGTTTATGTCACAATGTATTAGGTGGACATAATTTTTTGCTAAAAAAAGTATTTTACATTTGCCAATAAAAATACATATATTTGTTCCAACGTTACAACCGGCGGATCATGTTTAGGATTAAGCCATGGGTGTAACGAAAGTTCGAGAAAATAACGACATTTAATTGAGCTTGAACTCAACTCTTTTATCAATATTAATGAGTAAAGCTCAAGCTAAAATAGAGTTGAACTATAGAAAAATACATAAAATTCATCTTTTTGACTTGTTAACTGAACGAGTTTTAAATGAACTCGAGAGCTCGAGCTCTTAAGGAGCCGAACTCACAAACGATACATTTAATTTAACAGTTCTAGATTAAGGTATTGGGTATCTGCACAATATAATGGAGAACCATGGCGAAATGGGAAATGAGGAGGGTTAGATCCTACTGGCACCGAGTTTTATATTGTTGCCTCAACATGCACACCAAGTTTTTTACTGTTGGATCAATATACAAACATATTGATCCTTAAATTACTCAGTTAAATGGTAACAAACCCCAGAAGCTTGTGCAATTATCATTTCCTCTTCCATAACAATAAAAAGACTTGCAACCACCATATAAGCCTGACGATCAATTCCAATGTCTTATGGAACACATGTACACATGATTGAAGAACAACCAACCATTTATCAACTTCATACTTCACAAAATGATCATAATAATATTGCATGGATCCCACTCTTATTGGCTTAAGAAAACTACACAAGGATCCTAGAAAAAAGAGTGGTTTTGCAACTGACAAGAATGTTTCTATCTTATGTGGTCACTGGACAAGCGCGAAACCGTAATCCCATGAGTCCCAAAGGAAATATTAGAGAAGATTCTTTTAGGTATCATCCAGAACGTTGGTAATAATCGATCAGAAGCAGCACTCCTCCAATATACAACAGCAACAGATGGCAGCAAAACTGCACATAAAAAAACATATAGAAAAAGGAGAAGTTATTGCCCTTCAAGAGAGATATACTTGCTTTTAAGATCCTCGAGTTTTTTACAAATTTCACTGAAGTAAATGTCGGCAAGATAAGTAAATCAACCGGTTGGAGCATTCCCTAATCATTTCATCTTTTACAAATCTTTCCTCTTTCCAGTGTAATTTGTGTATTTTTTTTTTATTTTTTTTTTTATTTTTGTATAGACAGAAAAAGACTTTCTTTGCCTTGATTATATGCATGGGCACCGCGACTTGATGCAAAATGTTCTTAAAAGCTTTCGGGCAAATACTTTGAGTATAAACTCTTAACTTCACTTCAAGCTATATCATCCAAGTGTAAACGGGGTTGAAGGGAATTGCATTCATAGCTACTCATTGTGACTGAATAAACAGACTCAACTGATTACTGATAGTCATACATTCCACAACCCACATATAGAATTAACACAAAACAAGCTCCTCAATCCTCATAATTCCACCACAAATCAAACAATGAAGATTTTTCAATCCAGTGTATCCCTACACAACATATCTAAATACATCCAGTGCACCAACTAACAAAAAACGGACAACACGCAAACACACAAAAGCAGCTTCAGCTGCTCGCTCGAAATTTTGAATTAGTCATAGCAAGAACTTAAAACCAAAAGTTCATTCAGCAAAGAGGGCATGCTTGAAAAAGGTTGGTCACCTACATACTTTTAACTTTTCATACACGAAGAATTAAATTTCCGTTCGTGTAGCTACCCCATAATTCATCATCAAGACCATTCATCAAAAGAGAGCAGATTCTAAATTGTGAAAGATAAAGGAAAATGAAGCTATCTGTTCTTATATCATCAGCAAAGCGAGCAGAACGAAATAAAAAAAGGAAAGGGAAAAAAATTGAACATACCATCCCCGTAGAAAGGAGATACAATCAGGGCCATCATGGTGATGGTGATGATTGCAATGGTAGACCTGGGTTGGAGGCGCCGGCGGAGCATACCCTTGACCGAAATACTCTTGGTAACCACCTCCAGGTTGTGGCGGCGGTGGATATGGATACGACGACGGCGGAGGCGGCGGATATGGGTAGCCATCTGGCTGAGGTGGGGCAGTTGGATATCCCGCCGGAGGAGGGTATACTGTCCCGTACCCTGATAGATCAAAACAATTACATCATAAACTCGTTAAGAACACACGAAATTTCCGATCAAATTAACGATCGCGATACGATATTTGTGATAAATAAAACACACGCACACACAATAACGAAAGAGCTGAAGAAATTGACCTGGGGGAGGGTAATTTTGCTGCGGTACTTGCTGATAACTCATGGTTACGATCTTATTCCTCTCCCAATCGTCGCCGGAAATCGTCCTTGAGATCGAGTAGGGACAATATTTTCCGGCAGGAGAGGATTTTGCGTCGTCTTTGTTTATTCACGGAAATGATGGACGGCCAACAGATGTGATCTGCTAGGCTTCAGCTCATATATTCATGTCGGTGTTGTTTCACACCCAATAAAATGGTAAACTAATCTTCTTCACCAAATTTATTTATTCATTACTAATTTTAGGGGTGTAAACTAAAGAGCCAGTCAAGCCTTTAGCGAGTTTATAATCCAGCTCAAGTTCAACTCGTTTATTAATATTAATAGGTCGAGCTCGAGGTTTAACGGGTCAAAATTTAATCGAACCATAGAAAAATACATTAACATCATATTTTGAAACTTTAACAAACTTTATCGAACGGAACTCGTATCATTAAGTGAACGAGTCGAACTTGGCTCATTAACTAATCAAAATTGATCACATGAGCGATTTGTTTAATTTAGCATCTCTAACTGCTAAACAAATAGATACTTTTAACATTTTCCTACCACATGATTGTTCATTGTATAGTCAGGATGTTCTGGAAATATGCTAATGCTAATGCTAAAAATACATTATTAGCAAATGTAGCAGTCTTGAGAGTAATATTTTTATGACTTTATGAACGTAAGCAACCGATAATAAGGAAGGAGAATCAGCAATAGCGTGTTGACCATTTTCCAATAAGGTTAGAACACAAAATCAAGAAAAATAGTACCTCCCCCCAAAAATCACACGGTTAAGCAACTTCTAATTGAAGATAGATTTTATTTATTTTTTTTTTTTTTCTTCTCTTTCTATCTATATATAATAATATAATAAGTCCCTCTATAAAACCCTCCATCAAGCTCGCTCATAACATTCCATTCATCACCAGTCCATCTCAATTCAACTCAAAGAAACCCAAATAAAAAATGAACCCCCACAACCCGGAATCCGGATCCGCCAAGTACCCGGAAGTGTCCTCCTCCTCTGCCGCCGCCGTCAATCCGCCTCCAGTAACCGAGAACGCCGAGAAATGGGGGACCCACGTGATGGGGACGCCGGCGGTGCCCACGTGTCACCCAAACAACCAAAAGGCCGCCCTTTGGGGCGCCGGCGACCAGAAAGAGTACCAAAACCACCACCAACCCTACATCCAATACACGCCGATCGAGAGGTCCACCGGCGACGGGCCACTGGACTCGGTCCTCCACAAGTTCAACTCTTGGAGCGCCAAGGCTGAGTCCACCGCCCACAACATCTGGCACAACCGTATGCACCTGCTAATCTCTCTCTCTCTCTCTCTCTCACACACACACACACACACACACATCTAAAGATTGTATTTTTTATTTTTTCCCCCAAATTGAAAAGAACAAAATAATAATAATAATAATAATAACAATTTTGGGCTTGTTTTTTTTTTTTTTATTGCAGTTAGGACTGGGTCATCGGTGTCTGAGGCGGCCTGGGGGAAGCTCAACCTTGGGGCGAAGACCATTACTGGAGGTGGGTTCGAAGCTCTGTACAAGCAAACATTCGCAACTTATCCAAACGAGACGCTCAAGAAGACTTTCGCGTGCTACCTATCGACATCCACCGGCCCAGTTGCCGGGACTCTATATTTGTCGAACGTGCATGTTGCTTTCTGCAGTGATCGCCCCTTATCCTTCACTGCCCCATCGGGACAGCTGACGTGGAGCTACTACAAGGTACTACCTTTATTATCATTATCAATATTAATGGTTGATTGATTTTTGGAGGTTGTGTTTATATTTGAAATGATGTTTTAACTTGGGGCAGATATTGATACCTTTGCCCATGATTGGGAGCATAAACCCGGTGATCATGAGGGATAATCCGCCAAGGGAAAGGTACATACAGATTGTCACGACCGATGGCCACGATTTTTGGTTCATGGGCTTCGTCAATTACGAAAAAGCCAGCCATCATCTCTTTGAGACCCTCTCCACTTTTGCAGCACCTGGAATTCCAATGCCACAGCCCTCAGGGCATCATTAATTGAACTTCAATGAATATCAGTTTCTCCATGGATGGTTACTTGTTCTGTGTATTACTTGTTCTGTGTATTATTTATTCTATCCTCTTTTGGGATGTTTGTTTGTTTGTTTGTTTGTTGAGTTTTAGTAGTCAGCACTTGTTCTCAATAAAAGTTACATTTCAGACAACACATATGCTTGCCTCATTACTTACATTTAGTCCTTGCTGGATCGAAACATAGTCCTTGGCATGTCAATTGAAAACATGTATCAAACAACTGCATAGCTCAAAAACATAGCGTAAATAGAGGACAAAACATTTTTTACAGTTTTGACAACGTTAATGGATGCTATCATGTCCAAATGTTTCACTGTTTCAAGTTCTCACTAAAAGTGTGATGATCTCACTAGAAGTGTGATAATAGTACCGACAAAAAACAGAACTGCCTATGCGGCTGGTTCCCGGGAATCCATGCAAGAGCTTTGATGCATGCATGATGAATAATCAACGCTTCTTCTTGCTTCCCTTGGCAGCAGTGGATTTTGATGGGGTCGCAACCAGGTAGATGAACAAGACAACAAAAGATACAACCGAAACAAGAGATCCATATTTTGCCAAGAGTCTCTGTGAGGAGTAAACGTCAAGTTTAGCTCAAATATGTAGCAAATACTTGTAAAGATAAATTACACAAACATATCTAGATTTCCCCAAATTGGGTATCCACCAAAATCAACAATTATGATGCTATGTTGAGCATGAAATTCAAATACTGAGCTGTAGTTGTTTTGTTTTGTTTCTTTTTTTTTTCTTTTTTAATTCCAAGCACCTCAACAATGACATTTTCATAAGCTGTCAGCTAGCAACAAAATAGATGATACACAGAATAAAATGATTCACTTCCAAATCGAAGATAGTTAATAGTCTCACCTTAGCCTAATTCATTTCAGGAGCCGAGCCGCCACAGATCATTTCCAATGCAAAAAAACAAGAAGGTGAGAAAGATGTTACTTACAAAAATTGAATGTAAAGCAGAAAGATGTGCCAAATCGCTAAAAAAGTTACCAAATCAAGCTTCTTCTCTTGTGGCTTATCTGCTAGAACGTCGAGAGGCAAAATTGAAGTTGAATACGCCTCCTGAAGTAGTCACCCACTTAAGAACAATGATAGATTTATAAATATCATAAAAGTACAAGTCAGGTGAATTTCAAACCTGTAAGGCGGCCTTTGCAGGAACACGGAAAGTTATAACTGCTGGTGGCCCATAAAATAGAGTTTTTGTTTTTGCCTCCAGCTCAAAGGAATGTGATAGAACAGCCCCTCTGAGTAAAAAGGATAAAGAGATTAATAAGAGCAGGTGCAGAATAGCCGAAGTGAGATTAACCACTTTTCTTTCGTTCATAGGTTCTTTGATGATGACTTACACATCAATCATTTCCCATGAAATTGAGGTGTTGCCACTGACTACTTTGAATACCTCTGGAGACCAGCTATCATCATTGAGTGTTACATCATATGCAGTCCTGAACGGGTGGAATAATTTTGCATCAGAAAATCATTCCATGATGAAGGTCGAATCAAAACAAGAGCTATCATGTAGTTGACAATTAAAGCTCCACAAAGTACATTTCAAGGAGTAGCTTAATATTCTATACATCGGTAAATTGTGATAATGTCAAAAGATTAATTGCCGAAAACATCAACGTAATTCGCTGAAGAGCAAAAGCACAACACAAGTACAACAACCATGAATTTGATCATACACAAATTAACTGCTAATACGTGCAGGTACAGGATTCGTTCTTTCCTTTACGGATTAAAAGAGAGGCTTGGTTTTATCGAATTTGTGGTTGGATCAGCTAGAGAAAGGGTGAATTCTGATTTCTAACATAAGAACTATAAATAGTGCATCAACATATGTCTGCATTATCATGTGCTCAACCGGGTGGTAATTACCTATATATTCCAGAATGGATTGCTGTTGACAATCGAATTTCAAGTATTAGATCAACCCTAGTGTTCTCGAGCAAAGGATAAAAAAATTTACACCTTGAATAATGAAAATTGAATCAAGAATGTGAACTAATCCTGACCTAACTTTTCAAAACTCCAAAAGAGAAATAAAATACCATAAACCCATCAAATTTACCATCTAAAAAAAAACAGATCTGACTAAAAAAGGCGAAGGGAAATTATAACATACGCGGATCCTTGATTGTACACATCAATGGAGACGGAGATACGTTCAGAGCTGGGCTTGAGCCGGGTCAGCGACGCCTTTTTATGGGCCACGATAAAAGGGCCGTCGGAGCTGGCTATGACCGATACGGCGAATAACAGAGCTGCCAGAACACAAATTGCAGGTCCGATGATCAACTTGGCCATCGCTTAACAGAACAACGGCGTTTTCGAGATGCAGCTGGGGAAATAGGAGATTCAGACCGTAACAAAGAGATTGAAGTGGTTAGGGCTTCTTTACTCTAATTCCGATTACTTGTAATACTGAAGACAACTTGTAAATGATGATTTGCCGTAAAGAATACTATATAAATGATCCGCTCTTGAGCTCGGATTAAATAGTTATTTAAATAATTCTTAGAAAATAAAAAATTTAAATAAATTTTCATTGTTCCAATTCAGCTCGCTAATATTGATGAACAAACTAAACTCGAACTCATTAAGTTAATGAATTGAGTTCGACTCTGATTCGATAAGAACTTAAGTAGGGGCTTTGCTTGTATATATAGCTCCCTATTTAAGTGAAATTGATTAAGAAAATCAAAGTTGATAAAATTGGGTGAAGTTATCCAACATTATATTGACGACTATTTCCCTTATGATATTTTTGTGATTGGTCTCAAATCACTTGATAACCTTATATGTATTATTTTTTTGTTTAAATATTTGAATAAGAAGTTGAAAATAGAAAAGGCCCTATTGATCTTGGGGCTCATATCTTTTGGTGAACTTACATTTTCTATAAGGATTTGAAGCATATGGTGATGTACAAGGTTTATTAATCATCAGATGGATTTGGGTGACATTAGTGATTTTATTATCTTAATTTCGAACTAAATTTGTATGAAAAAATTAAGAAGCATATATGCATTCAAATCTTTAGCATCACTTGTTCCAGTCTTTCATCATCTAATTAATTTGTTACTTCATCTCAACTACAATACATAGACATACGGGTATAGAGATACAATACATCTTAAAATTTTATTATACGTACAGATACGACGACTCTATTTGTATTTTTGTATAATATTAATATATGTTTGCATTATAAAGATAATATAAACTGAAGTATTTCAATTATTATTAAAATTATTCAATCATACAGAAATAAAATCATGTAAATAATCACATATATATAAACTATGTCACGACTCATAAAAATGTTAAAAAAACAAGTAACTTAAATAATCAACATTAATTTTTTTAAAAAAAGAATTATATAAATAACCACATATATATAAACTATTTATTGACTCATAACAAAATAATTAAAAAAATATGTTAACTAAAATAATAATAAACCATTTTCTTTTTATTTTTTAAAATAAACCAGTGTATGTATGATCAGTAGAATCGTATAAATACGATACAAGCATGTTTAATACGTATACGTAATACGTCAGCCTCATAGAAGAGTCCGTCGACCCATATATATCATCTTGTATATCTTATAAAGATGAATAAGAACAACTGAAAATTAATAAACCCACTGCATTAATTAACTACTTGAAAGAACTCTAGGCCAAGGGACTCACACTCATTAAATACTATAAAAAAAAACAACAAATTTTCTCAACTAATAAGCCAAATTAAACAGAAAAAAAAAGAAGAAGCCAAGTTTGCCATAAATACACCCGA